TAAGATCCATTAATGTTGTAGAGTCACTGGAAACTATGCTGGAGATAGTTTAAGACCAAGGGGAATGGTGAACAATAATGCATTTCTTCAGGTTAATAGTTTTGCTCACGGAGCATTTAAACTTCATCACACTATTATAACCATTATTAGAAAAATAAGTAAGAAAGCTCTGTAGAAACTCTATTAAGGAAGTTTCTTGCCTCAGAAAAATGAAACAGGAAGGAAGGAAGTAGAAGGAAGGGGTGGAATGGAGGGAGGAAGAGAGGGGAGGGAGGAAAGTAGGGCTATTGACTAAAAGATTCCACTGACTGAGTTTTACATGTCACATTATTTTGAGAAATAAAACACAGTGCACTGAACAATCATGGACATCATGAGTTTTAGAGAAAGACCAGAACTCAACATTTATCAAGACCCTTAAAACTCATAATAGCTGTTCTTCAGCAAAGACTAAGTGAACGGAGAAGATGGATATACTTTCTCATTTCAAAATTTTAGTGAAAATCCAGAGGTTGTTTGCCACTCTATGCCAGCTTTAAAGATTCCTCAAAATTTTCGTCATTCTATTATTTTCACTATAAAAGCAAAAGTCATCTCAGTAAAGTTATGCAGAAAAAATCATAAATTTTGTAATGCAAGCTATACGTTTTCTTAAAGTAATATTTATCATTTCAAAATACTGTTTGAAGCATCACCTTTATTTTCTAGCTGTACTTCAAATAATTGTTCAAACATACTTAAATACTAATAGAGCCCATTTATATGCAAAAGCTACCCTGGTCTCTCCTCACAGAACAAATGGGACTTGATTATAGAATGTTGTAAATATTCCTAATCTTTATCCAAAAGACTGCCCCAAACGAAAACCACCACCATCCCCCTGTCCCCTCCCCCTCCCCCCAAAAGGCTTCCTACGATTGACTTTGGTTTCCTTTTGATGAAATTGCCTGGTTAAGAACATTTGAAAAATTTAAAACCGATTTTTAAGGCTTTCTCATAAAATTTTTTGAAATGTGCAAGGAGAGAAGACAAAAAGGAGAAAATTTCGGGCATAAGGACTTAAACTCTCATTTCCCAGGCGCTGGCTTCTACTGCACTAGGCCTAAAGCCCCATTTAGGTGCTATAGCTGCCAACCTATATCAGGGCTCTAAGGTCCAGGTTCTTTACACTTCAGGGATCTTTCCTCCTGCTGGTGCTCATGTATTTCATCAGCATTAATGGGGGTTTTGAACAGGAATCACTGGTGAGAACCTCCCCTGTGGGTATAAAAAGTTTGGTCGTTGTTGAAAATCCCACATGGAGATGAGCACACTCAGAAACTGACAAAGGAAGTGTCGGAAAGCGGTTCACAGCCAGATGTGAGAGGCAGGAGAAACCAACCTCAGGGGTAAGGGAAAATCCCCATTTTCTCATTACATAGAATAGTCACATTTAATATTAACTGCTTAGGTTTATGGAAATAGGCATTCTGGCAATATCTGCATATATAAACAAATTTCAGAAAATAATTTCTTTCAGTGTATAATGGAGTATTATATTTCATCCACTGGGTATTCATTTTAAACAGTGTCAGGTGAGCGATCACATGTGAAAGGAATAAACAGAAAGGTATTTTTTCCCCTGTTAGAGTAGTCCTGAATATTCAAAGGACAAACTCAAATATCAAACAGTAATCAGAATAATAATAATAATAAAAAGGTGAGCCCTTTTTTCCCCTTTGGGCTGCGTGGCCATAGCCTGATTTCTTCTAGAACAGTGGTTCTCAACCTTGGCTGCACATTAGAATCACCTGGGAATCTTTTTAAAATCCTGATTCCTGGGCCCCATCCTCTGGAAATTCTGTCTCTTTGTTATGGGGTGGGGGCACAACATTAGTAACAAAGAAAGAGAATTTCCGGAGGATGGGGCCCAGAAATCAGGATTTTAAAAAGATTCTCAGGTGATTCTCATGTGCAGCCAAGGTTGAGAACCACTGATCTATAGGGAATTTGGTTCAACTCAATATTTGCCATGTGCCTATATGAGTAAGGGCCACATAAAGATAACAAGACAAGGCACTAACTACTATCAAGGGGAAAAGAGAAACGTGTGCAATAAAGTTAGTTGTGATCCAGTTAGGAAGGGTAGAGGAGAACACACGGAAGCTGCAATGAGAGCACAAGGGTCTCTCCTCTCACCATTGACACTGACCGATGAATACAGGCTATCCCTGTCCACTTCCTAGGGCAGAAAGGTGCTCAGACATAATTCAACTGTCTTGGATTTCCAAAAGTATGCAATGAGTAGAATACATTGATTAATACAGTTTCAGAATATCAGTATAGGCTAAACTGGCAACGTAAATTAAATCCCCAAGTCTTTGAAAATCAACTACAAATATGACACACATTTGTGTCCTGAGAAGAGAAACAATCTAATTTTCTTTTCTTTGTTTTGCACTTCTCTTTCCCAAGCTCTGTTGTTCCTCCTCCTCCTCCTCCTCCTCCTCCTCCTTTTTAGCTCTGCCATTCAACCGAGGTGGGTAGGGTTATTGATGAACATAATGTTGTCCTGTTTTTCTTGTAGCCAGTAAAGGGGGATGCAGCTGTGAGATGCATGGTATGGGTTTAGCGCAATTTATACCGGGGTTCTAACTCCAGTTCTGCTTATTGGGTGACTTTGGGAAAGTCTGTTTAACCTCTAGGCTGCAGTTTCTTCATCTATAAAATGTTAATAATATTATTTACCTCATACTGTTGTGAGAATCAAACAAAGTAATAACTTATTGTGCTACATCTCAGTAAATTATAACAGTTACCGTTACGATTATTATGCGTTTTGGTGGACATAGATGATGTTTTAAAGATAATTTTAAAACAATGCTTCGTAGCATCTTCAACTTTGTGCTCAATATTGAGTTTGGTCGGTGATGGGTGATACTGATGGCTCCTTCCAGTGCTGGCTATGGATGAACTGAGGACAGTGAATGGGAAAAAAAAAATAAAAAGTCTGAATAGTAACTATTAATGTGAAATAATATAACTACGTATCAATGAGAAAAATCTCTACGTATTGACTATCTAGTCTATGTAGGAAAGTGGCAATTTTATGCGCGTGGATTTGTGTCATTTCTCCCCATCTGGATAAAGATCTGCGACAAAATTAGTTGGTGACTAGTATTCCTAATTCACCTAAAATTTATACCTTCAAATAGCCTCTCAGTTCACTTGAAAAACTATGATATCATTTGGTCTCCAACTTCATCTTGAAGAACACCCACAATTCCATGACCTCTGCCCCTACTGGTGCTATCTTACTTTGCAATCACTGATTATGCTTTTTATTAGATTGAAAAGTGAAATGAAAATGATGATGGTAGCAAGAAAATAATTTAACATAATAGCCCTGGGCTGGATGACACTGCCTTACCAGGCCCTACACTTTGGCATATGTACATTAATCAGGGCAGTTTAGATATTTTCTCATTGGTTTTTCTTTTTCAAAATTGCAGTCCTAATTATTATTTTTTGTCACTTAATATCATATTATTGAGAATTCACTGGATGCAGAGTAAGAAAACATACAAATGGATTTCACACAAAATGTGGATAGTACAGAAGACACAAGACTCCAGAAGGAAGTTTCTGAAAGGTACAGGGATAAAATACTAACATTCTTTACTGATTTGAAATACACTTTGTTTCCCGGGCAGTAATAAATAACTATGTTTTGCAGCTCATTTGGGAGACAAAAAGTCTATAATTCCAGGCTCAGGAAATTATATGAGTGCCAGTCAATTGCCATATTTGGACTATCTCATGTTATTATAAAACTTGAGGGATTTTAAGAGAACAATAAGAAAGTGCGTTGCCTTTCTTGAGTTTCTGAGACAACACCTGCTGCCCACCAGTGGGTCCCTATTTGCTATAATTGCTGAGATATAAGATTTTTGCCTTTAAGCCTTCATGCAAATTCAAGCACACAAAAGAGCAGTCGGACTGCCTGATACAGCAGATTCAGTAGAGGGAGCGGGGCGGGGGGGGCCACTTACTCTGCCACCATTTTTAATCTCCCCAAATTTCCTCTTCTTATACTTTTTAAAAGAATAGACAAACTTTTCGAAGTAACTTGTGTCAGTCCACAGGAGAAAAGATACATATTTTGCTGTGTGTGGAGGAGAATGGCAGCTAATAGCACCCAGAACCAAATAAAATAGAGGAGAAAAAGAATCCATCAACTTGATAAATGTTTTTCTAGTTCCTTTTCTGAAGAAGCCAGGGCACCTTCACCTTTACATACATGCGTGTGTGTGTGTGTGTATGCATACACACACATACATAGTGTGTATGTGTGCAGGTGTGTATACAGATACACATACACATAATCCATAATCTTTGAGGACTTGGTAGCTGGGATGGAGCCAGGGTCCTTGTTGAAAGTTTTAAAATTGTTCATTACTTTTTAGGCCACATTGGATGTGAAACTTATACCAGGCAAATCCCTAAGGACACATCAGAGCACACACACAATTCCAGGCACAGGCTGAAGGACAGACTGAACAAGGAACAGCCAGTGAGGTCTTTCCTCGCTGAAGGAAAAAGCACCGAGCTGGTTTTATAACGTGTGTGATTAGGTTTTGTTACAGCTACACCTAAGACTGAATCTCTTTTTATTAGGAAGATCCCAGGTGTTAGCAATGCAGGCAGCTGTCTCAAAGCCAGGGCAGATACCTCTGGCATCAAATGCCTAAATCTAATTTCTCAGTAAAACCTACATCCTCTCCCTGCTTAAAACCCTTTCCATTACTGCTACATGAGATATCACGCCATTTGATTCATGTTCTAACTTTATAACCTAACTCAATTACAAAAAAAAAAAACACCTGGGAAAAGCTGAATAGTGTAACAATAAAAGAATGAATTTTTCCCTTTAATGCAATTCTGTAATAGACAGTCTTAAAACTCATGTCATATAGCATTTGTATTTTATAATTCATGTGCATAAATGCATAAAGCTGCCATTTTTAAAAATATATCTGGAGTTTATTGTTTTTTTGTTTTGTTTTTTTTTATTTAAGGCCTTTCAGTTTAGCCACGTTGAAACAATACGTACGCATGGTTTTGTTACTGTGATGAAAACAAGCCCTCGCTTAAAATAATATATATAGTACTTATTTGGGACTAGGAGCAATGATATACTTGCTTTTTAGTAATTGGCAAATAGTTTGCTTTCATCTAGTTTAACTACAAATTAGAAAGAGAAAAATGTTGTTCATATATACAAAACAACCTATTTAATAAAGTGTATGCATAAAATTATATATTGGTTAAGAAGCAAAATTAAAAAGAAAACAGCTGATAGTATTCCTGATTAATCAGTGTTCCTAAATATAAAAACAAATGAAAAGGCCTTGCGAGTTAAGAAAAACAGCACATGGTACAGCTTTCACACACGTCAGAGGAAACAGAGCTTGTGACACTGTTCTGAGGAATCTTTCATTTATAAAAATCGAAGGCCTAACTTTGCAAATACAACTTTCGAGCTGTCTGAGCAAAGTTACACGAAAGGCACAGGATGACATCACGTTGAAGAACGTATCTGTGAGTTTCATAAAATCTAGTCACAAGTCACTAGAAACTTCATAAGGAATCCCAGAACCTTTTTGAACACGATGTTCTGGTTCAAACCGAGAAGTGGAGAGTCTTTATGTCAGAAATACAAATTGAAGTGAGCGAGCAGAAGATTTAGAGAGAGAATAGTTTCTTATGCGAATGCTACCTGCTTTATGCAGTGCTTGCTACTACACACTCAGAGCGGATCATTAAAATGTTCTTTAACTTAAGTTGTTTTTCATTTTCAGCAGCTCATACTGTATTTTTTTAGTTTGTAAAAAATGTATATGCACATTACTACAATTTTAAAGAGTCAGTCGTTGAAAGGAATTTTAAAGTAAGGTCCTGTTCTATTATTAGCTTCCTACACTGGAATACGAGAATACAGGAAGTGCTTTCAACAGAAAGTTACAGAGTTCTACAGTACAACCTGTCTAAGGACTTGCAAGGGACCAGTACAGTGACTGGGTCTCTTTGGATGGGGCAAAAAGCAGAGGTAAATGAAATGAGTTTTTAAAATAACATTACAAATGCCTTTATGACAATGAAATCTTGCTTGCACACAGATTTAGTGCTACCGAGAGCCAAGGTACAATGAAGCTAAGTGCATAAAGGGAAAATATCTGAAAGAAAACAATTTCCAATGTGACTGAAACCCTTCAACACCAGATATGACTTACAATAGAGTTGGAGAGCTACTTTCTTTTATCAAAGTACATTTCAAACACCAGGGACAAGCCAGTCAAAATATGCTTTACGGATCATGTGTAGGGTGATACTAAAATCATGTTGCAACTAAACATTCTAAAAAATCATTGACGATTTTCATATTTCAGGAAATGACTGGCTCTTTTGCTAAAGTAAAATGAACTTCAACCCAAAAGCATGTTCTCAAAGCTCTGGAGGATCGGTAGCTTGACAATGATGATAGGGTTTTTCATCGTCCCAAACAAACTCTACCAGAGATACAACCTGCCTTCATTCATGTCAGTATTAGATGGTCTTTCCACAGAATTTAAAACATTTTGGTAGAATGTTGAAGGTGATTCTTCAAAGAATAAGTCTTCTAACGATGACCAGGTCCAAACGGCGGCGTTGTCACAGACGGCAATGCTGCCCGGGGCTGCAGATGCGCGTTCTCATGACTCCAGTAACGCGTGCCATCTGCACACTTGCTGTCCTTTCGACTCTTTCATTTCGGTCCAGTGATTGAGTTCCTCCTCTCCAGAGCTGTTCAGACCTAGAGAAATCCAGCCTATCATCTCTTTTCTTTTCATGCTGCGCTTGTTATACACAGACAGGATAAGGGTCACGTCAGAGAGCTGAAACAGGGCCACTTGAAAAACAAAAGTTTCCTTGTACACTGGATTTGGCTGCCCTCTGCGGATGGATGTCTTGCATTTAGACATTTCTTGACCCATGGAATTCAGCAGAGTTAATTTAACATACGTATCTATAGGGGGAAAAAAAAACACAGAACAACATACCACAAATATCATTTGAAACAAACGCAACAACAACTTTCTTGTAACATTTGCTGAGAAAATTCTCTGTGCTTTGTAAGGATATGGTGTATACCATGTTTAATGGAAATTCAACTAATTCCATTTTGATGTAGATGCTTATACTATGTGACAGGTACAGAGAATGCTAAGGAGGCAGAAAATCTTTGGGGGATACTAATATGTTAACCTCACTATTTCTACATTATTGTTAGAATTTAAAGGTATACCTCATAATCCTTCCTCCACCCTCCCACCCATTCCTTGACCTCCCAAGACCTCCCGCGACCGCCCCCCCCATCCCATCCCCATTTAGCTTCACTAAGCAGGACATCATAGCATTAATAAACACTTAGCAAGCTCAATTAGCCACAACACTGTAAAGCATTCCACTGTGTTTTCAGAGAGTAAGAATAAACAAACAAATAGAAATGAAGGCAAATGATAAAGAGGAAAAGAGGAAGACAAGAATGCAAAGATGACATCAAAACAGCTTAGGATGAAATGTGAAAAAAATCTCTGCATGGATGTGGTTTTTAATTATATTTTAAAACTATTTAAGAGCCAAAAGGAAGCTAAATGCATTAAGGGCTCAAAGGTCAGCAAGTCAAGGAAAACTTTCTCCTGGTTTCATGCAAGAGTACATTTAATGTGCTTTCTGGACAGTCAAAATAGATACTACAGGGTTCCTTTTTTGACACAATTCAATGTCCAATTGTAAGTATGGCGTCCGAACTATGTTCATGAATTAGAAAAAAAACAACTGATGTGATGTTTAGTGTACAAAGTGAAACGTAACAGTCCATTGCCTGATTATTTGGGAGATAAACCCTCTCTTCAAACAACTGTGTTTTCAAGGTCGTTTGATTCATGCAGATGACCTTCAGCATGTTGATCCATCATGTGTACTTCTTGTCAAAATTTCAAGTAATTTTAATGAAAATTGCAGTATTTCTGATGAAGTAACTATTTCTGTTGTATGAGTCAAAATACAATGAATGAAAAAAAGCCTTTAATTTAAAAAGTTTTGCTTACTTCATACTCTGAATACCATCATCCATAATCAGAGATAAATTCTAAGTTAGTTTTACTTAAAGTACCACAGATAATAAATGTGCATTTTTTGAAACCAACATGGTGGACAGCTTCACTGCTGGCAAGTTTTAGGGTATTTTTTTTTTGTTTTGCATGAAAAGACAACATCCAATTAGCCTCTACAGGAACTCACCTCGGATTATATAAACCTGTCCACCTATCAAGTGTTTTAGACAACAGAACAGTCCATCTGACAACAGGGGGTGGAAAGCAGTAAAAGAAATAATGACCAGATGTCAATTGTTGGGTGAAAGAGGGTCAAAGGTTAGAATTAAAGAGGAAACACTGTTCACTGGAGTGGAAGAACACAAAAATTTAGCATTTTAATTCAGGTAGAGGGTTGAACAAAAGGGTCCTTGGGCAAAACTCATGAAATGAGCATTTTTAAGGTCATTTTGTAATCTGAAACCAAAATTACACTGTTTTAAAGGGGGACATCTCTATAATGATATCCTCTTGGTCTAAAGCACATTGAACATAGAAGCATGCAAATCATCAGACTATAAAAGACTGAATAAAAGTCATTATAGGATCACTGTTATTATTATCCAAAATTTTTAAGTTTATCCATGCAATATTTAATATTTCAAATTCTTTTATTACTACTCTCAATGTAACATAAAATTAAGTAATGAAAAATAAAATAGAATTACCAAAAATTTTTCCCTTGAATACTACTATTGTTTTCTTTGGTTACAAATTAGATTATTCAGTTTATAACACAGTTCAAAGCTTAGTACTAGGTGTATGTGAAGGGTCACAATCTTATATAATAGATACAGAATAAGATGAACTGACATAACTGTCTTATATTTTACTTTCTTATCTTATATTTTACCCTGTGTAACTAATTTTAATGTTGACTTATATTTAATTCAGCTAAACATCCTCATACTGAAGATCTAACTCTAAAATAATGAAAAGTGCTTTAACTTACTCTTTAGAACCGGAAAGATCTACCTTATTTTGTGGATGATAATCTCTTAACCTCTTCTACTCTGCTCCTTTCATTTTGAGTCTGATTAGTGATTTTCTGTTTCTATCAAAGTGGGTAGAACAAGGACAGAGAGGCAAACATCACTTCATTCTGCGACTTTTTAGTATCTCAAGTTAAATATTTGTCAAAAAATTAAACTGTTAGCTAAAGCAAAAAATGAAGGGCAAACTGATAACCTGTGGCTAAAGGGAACCCCAAAAGTATCTTATCTGTTGCGGTGCTGACAACAATTTCCAATCTGAATGTCTAAATGCAGGGTGCACACTCTCCCATTGGTCACAGGCCTCACCATGCTCCTTATCTTTCATCCACAACTTCTGCTCATATAAGTTGTTTCCCAGGCCATTAGAGTTTGCATTCTAAGTGTGTATTAATGAAGATAACCAAGTAGCTATTTCTTCTAATAACTGTTTCTTTACACCCTCTGAAATTTTCGTTCTGAAAAGAGGAAGAGGACAATAATAAATCCATCCTTCTTTTATGCACCTTTGTCTGTTTGAGTCTCACATTTACCCTGTGAGAGACACAACTTTAATTTTATGTATAAGGAAACAGACTTCAGGGAGTTAGGGCACTTGTCCAAGGGTAGAAATACGAACATAACTTTGGCCTTCTAACTTTTAATTCAGGGATAGATACATTTCATGATGTATGTAAGAAGCAAGGTTCCCAAGACTACTTAGAGCAAACCGGATATGTAGTTATGACTTTTCAGCTTGATTGAAAAAAAAAAAAGTTAATTCAAGGGTGGAAGACGTTTCTTCTCCTTCAAGAATTATTTGATAATTGGAGTAAAAGATTGCTTTAAGCAAGTCTGAAAGAAATCTTTAAACAAATTTAAAGTGATCATTATTATTCAAAATTTCCAAATTTTCAGTTTGGGGCATTAACAGCTTTAATTTAGAGAAGTATAAAAAAGCTGCTATTTTCCAGTTTGTATCCATAGATTTCAACAAATAGTTTTGGGCATAAACTGAGTGACAATTTCTCTGTTCTCCCATAGCTTACCTGGAGCTGGGAGAGAGAGAGATTAGGAGTTGGAAGACTGAGAGGCATAGAGACAGGGCGGAGGTATACTATCTAGTTTCCCTTCCTAGCATTTGGGGTAAATACAAAAATATTCTTTATTCTGTTGGTTCTGGTAAAGCCAAAGCACATTCCATTTAAGAAAAGACTCTGGTGACATTACTGACTTATAATTTTAAAGAAGAAATATGTGAAAAAAAAACACAGTTTCTTCTTAAATTGTTAAGGGAGAAAAGTGTATAGTTCTGCATGCAGACAGATAACACAGCATCAATCTTCAGGTAACAGCAATAACTGCCCATATTCCTGATTATCTTCGTGGAATATTAGTAACTTAAAAAGATCCTGTAACTTTTTCTGGCATTAGAAGATAATGGGGAGAATTTATTCCACTGACATTAGAAAAATTAAGTCTCGACACCTTCCAATTCATATTTTGAATTTCAAATTTTTCTACTTCCCAAATGACTGGAAATAGAAATCATGAAACAGATTAGTGGATGATTATTACACCATTTCATTTTGATCAGTTAAGACTAAATGGTAGGACGAAAGCTCCTAACACTGAGATTCCCATAAATGCAGAAAACATTAGAATTTAAAAAAACAAACATTTTCCACTCACTGGGTGGTCTGTTTGCTGCCAAGTTTTTGAAGTGGCTGCCTTTGATGACTTCTGCTGATAGTCTGCCAGTGGTGGCGTTATAAAGCAGGCCAATGAGAATTTCTGGAACTGAGCCATGCTCCAGAGACTGACAGGAGGATGTACTTCTACTACAGGACACTTCTGACATGCTCATTTGGGAGTCACAGCCCTGTAACCAAAAGTGAAATCTTTATAGTACTTTGTAAAAAAAAAAAGATATATTGTTAATGCCATATTTAGTGGAATTAGACAAGTAAATCACAATAAAGATGAAATGCAAGCAAAATTCCCAAACACTAGATTAGGAATGTTGTTCTGAGCATATTTTAGTCTCTGCATCTCTTTTCATTATATAGCAGTCAAAGAAATGACAGATGAGGTTTTGTAAGTCCATGCATATTTATATACAAATCAGAAGCTAAATTTCTTACTCATAGATGTTAATAAACTGTCTATTTTTTGAATGTAAAAAATTGTGTTTTTAAAGACATATTGACCTTAAAAGACTGACACAGATTTAGACTCAATTACATTAAATGTAAATGTTTTAACAATGCCTTTAAAGACAAAGATTGGCACACTTTCATTAAATAAATAAGTTAAAACAATCTATTTATAAATCATCATGTAAAACACAGAAATACAGAACGTTGGAAAAAAAGGATGGAAAAATTAACTATGCAAATAACAACCAAAGGAAACTTGACATAGCTACATTAGTCAAGGTAAGCTTTAAGGCAATAACCATTACTTAGAGATGAAGAGATACACTCAATAATGATATAGCTTTCAATTTACAAGGAAGATAAAATAATTCCAAATTTACATGCATTAACAGCATAGGGTCAAAACACATAAAGCAAAAACTGCCAGAACTAGAGAAACAAATTCACAAGCAGTAGAGACTTCAGTATGTACACTTGTTTCAGTAACTGACAGCACGCAGAGAAATAAACATAGTAAAAGAAAGTAGAAGATTTGAATATCACAATAAGAAAATTGACCTAATGGTAATACATAGAACACCTTACCTTACAGAATATACATTTTCTCAAGCTCACAGTGGAATTTTTATAAATATTTACAAAAATAAAAGCAAATTAACAATGAATTTCAAATAATGGAAATCTTCAGAATGTTTTTTAATCTAGAAATCTAAGCTATCTTCTTGTAAAGAAAAAATTCCTGTATCACTGGAAATTAAGGAAACACTTTTAAATAACCCATAGGTAACAAAATGATAATGAAAATAAGTTACTTGAAAACATTAATAAAAATAGATAAACGTTGGAGAGTTTAAGAAAAAAAGAAGGTACATATGCCAAATATTAGTAATAAGAAAGGAGATGTCACTACATAGCCTAGAGGCCATAAAAAGGCAAAAGGATAGTCTGAAGAGCTCTCTTCCAATAAATTGGAAATTTTGATGACATAGACATATTCATAGAAAACTATAACCAAAATGGACACAAGAAGAAACAGAATATCTAAACAGTGTTATTGAATAAGTTGAATTTGCAATTAAAAACTTTTCAAAAAAACCCACAAAAACAAAACAAAACTAAAAACTAGCTAGAGGGCTTCACCGGTGAATTCTAATTAATAATGGTAGTCTTACCCACAATCTTCCAGAGGGAAGTAGGAAAGAAGAAATACTCCCTAGCTTCCTTTAAAAATCTAGCAAAACCATCAAAAACCAGACAAGGACATTATAAAAAAGTTACAGGATTTTCTTATTCATGAACGTAGATTCAAAACCCTAACTAAACAGTTAGCAAACCAAATCTAACAACCTAGAACATCATAGTTAATAGAAAAAAAATTTAACGTTTCCCCTTTGAAATTGGGGATGTTGACAATGATGTCAACTATTACCACTTCTAGTAACACTGTAGTGGAGATTCCAGCCAGCGGAGGCCCAGCCTCACTAGAAACAATAAAATGAAATGAAAGGTATAAAGATTTGGAAGAGGAGTTTAAACAGTCCTATGGGAAGATTATATAATATGCACACACGAAATCTAAAGTCCACAGATGAGTTAGAGCTGCACACGAAGGTAAAAATTTAAACCTATACATTGCTGAATGCCAGCAACACTCCATGAGTTAAATAAAAAGACTGTAAGATTTTTTTTATAACAGATTTTTAGATTGAACAAACTTTAGATTAAAAAAATCTGAAAATGCCTTAAATGAATCTTCAAGTTTGAATCTACTGCTGGCTATGTAAGTGAAGAAGAATTAACACATACTGGGGCTGAATGGACTCATTAGACTAATATTCAAAGGGATAAATATCTCGTATTTTCAAATGTAACTCTAAACCAGCGGAGAAAGCCAAAAGGAATATACAGCTTATACTTGTAAATCAGGGGTATACAAAGCACATAATTTGGTATGTTTTCATGACAGTTGGAGGAGAAAACAATTTTAGTAAGTTTCAATTAGGCTACATCATCACTTATGAAAACAGTGTCAAAAACAACACTCGTGCACATTTGGCGCACTTGCTACATTGGGCTATTATACTAGCAGCATCTGTTAGGTGCTGTGAAATACATTCTTCATAATATAGCATTTTTCACATTAACCTACTGTCGGATTATAAGATGTGAATCTAATATCTTCTTATCAACACAGACGTCACGGTGCCAATTTTGAGCAACTAAGTGAGGTCCCAGGAAATCCTGGGAACGGCCTTTCTGGTCTTCAAGCCTAAGAAAGAGCAAGAGAGATCCGATCCTTGGTGATCGCATTCTATATTAGTGAGCCCTGCTGAAGTATAAGTGTGTAACGGAAGAGACTGTGGTCTGGATTCACACCTTAGGAAGAGTGCTAATCGCGTGGCCTTCCCGAGGAGATGAGCGAGCACCACCAAGCAGTGCAGAGTAGCTACATAAATAGAGTAGCTGCAGTGAAGACAAATTAAATGCAGACATGATATACTCCAGGGGCACCTCTCCAGTGACTGTTCCTCAGGGCGGGCTGCTCCACTCGGTGTGCACGCGGGAGTCTCCATCTAGTCTCTCTGCAGACCCCAGCACTAATTTACCACTGCAGGTGATTAACCCAAAGTCACACAAATCCCAGCCATAATTAGGTCTATTTCAAGGAACAGTCCCCCCGGCTCCCCAAAGTATAACTTCCTCCCATCTCACAGAGTATTTTTTTTTTAATACTTCCTCTCCTTCCCCCTGAGTCCTCTGCCCTAGGGTGGAGGAGTATTGTGTGAAAGTAGAAAAAAAAACACAGCTAGTCTTTCAGAGAAAGGAATAAGCTCTATGGAATGTTTACCATAAGGAGAATTATTATGGTGCTAATGGGTTAAAATTACGTGGGAACTTATAACTATAGAGAGGAAAACAAAAGATTAAAAAGACAGCAGCATTTTTATTAAGTAAATGTCTGGACTTTTATTAATACTAAATTGATTCCATCTTAGACTCGATATTTTTAAGGTAAAACTGAACTGTACAATGATAATTACCATACATGTGGATAGTTTCTGTTGACTTTATTTTCACTGTGGCTAGCAGATGTTTTTATTGTTTAATTTATGCATGAGATGCTTCCGTTAGACCAGTGATGGCGAACCTTTTGAGCTCGGCGTGTCAGCATTTTGAAAAACCCTAACTTAACTCTGGTGCCGTGTCACATATAGAAATTTTTTTTATATTTGCAACCATAGTAAAACAAAGACTTATATTTTTGATATTTATTTTATATTGCGTCTCCATCAGCAGAGCCCCTCCCTCAGGGCCTTTCCCAGCCCCGAGGCACTGAACCCTCAGCAGCCCAGGTAGGGAGGAGGTTACCCCAGGCAATTTCAGGACAGAGAAAGCAAGAGCAGCCGAACTGCTCCAAATCTCATCCCTCCCCAGCCCACTCCCTCCCAATCTAGTGTAATCTGTAAGATAAAAGCACCAATAGACTCTACAGGATAACTTAGCAGGGTGAGCAGGTGATGGCTGAATCATTTACATTTCAGAATGCTGTTGGAGTCAGGATTCATGTGGCTGCAAACGATAGAATATCCAACTTTACCTGGGTTAAGCAACACAGGGGAACTCAATGGCTTATGGAACATGACAGTTGGTACAGAGGTAGCTTCGGGTACTCACAGTCCCAGGCCTCAACCCGTGTCCCTAAGAACCAGTTCCCCTTCTCCATTTTCTGACTTTGTTTCCCAAACTTGGCTTTATTCTCAGGTAGACTTTTCCTTCCTAGTTGCCACACTGTTTTCAGCAGCTCTGAGTGTTGTGGGAAAGAGGAAGACAGACAGCATCCTGATCGCTCTCACCAAAACCCCAGCACTGGCTAGTTAGGGCTCACGAGATCTCACTCCAGGGCTTTGGAATGAAGTCACTTCCTCAGAGGCACACGGGCAGGCTGGCTCTCAAGCGTAATCTGGGCACTGTGGCCGCGAGAAGATACGGATGCTACGCAGAAAA